AGAGCTTCGAGATCTTTCTTCTCTACTTCCTCTACTCTCAATAGCAACAACAAGAGCATCTCTGTCTCTAAGCTAAGCTTCCTATTTCAATCCTCTACTAACCCTAATCCACCTTCGTCTTCTGAGTCCTATTTCGCTAATCTCATTTTGACTTCCCACGGATACAATCCTAATCGGAATTGGTCTTCTCATCAGTTTCGTCTCCTTCTTACTGACCCATATTTGCTTGTTAGAGTTCTCAATATGATTAGAGAAAATCCAGAAATCGCTTATCATTTCTTCAAGTGGTGTCAGAGTCAGCGCGACGTGAAGCAGTCATTGCAAGCTTTCGCTGCGATGCTCGAGATCTTAGCAGAGAAAGATTTGATGTGTAAAGCGTATTGGGTTGCTGAGAGGAGCATTGATCTTGGTATGTACGAAATTGATGATCTTTTGATTGATGGGGATTATGATAAACGGATTGTTCTCAAGATTCTGGATCTATTGTTGTGGGTTTACACCAAGAAATCTATGGTTGAGCAGTGTTTGTTGAGTTTCGATAAGATGTTTAAGAAAGGCTTCTTTCCTAGTGTTAGAAACTGTAATATAGTTTTGAGGGTTCTTAGGGATAAAAAGATGATGGATAGAGTTCGTGAGGCTTACAGGACGATGGTCGGGAACGGTATTTTGCCAACGGTTGTCACCTTTAACACAATGCTGGATTCTTGTTTCAAGGCTGGCGATTTGCAGCAAGTCCCCAAGATTTTATCAGAGATGGTGAGGAGAGAAGTTGATGCTACTGAGGTGACTTACAATATACTGATCAAGGGATATGCCAAGATTGGTAAAATGGAGGAAGCTAGGCGGTTTCATGGAGATATGCAAAGAGCTGGATTCCCTGTTACAGCTTATTCGTTTAATCAGCTGATTGAAGGGTATTGGAAACAAGGCTTGTTTGATGAAACTTGGAGAGTTGGGGACGAGATGCTGAATGCGAATGTATCTCCAACTACATCTACGCATAACATTTATATACGCGCTCTCTGCGAGTTGGGAAGAATAGATAATGCCAGACAGCTTTTACTTGGTATGGCAGCTCCTGATGTTGTGTCTTATAACACTCTCATGTATGGATATATAAAGATGGGGAAAATTGCAGAGGCTTTTCTCTTGTTTGATGAGTTGAGAGTTAGGAATATCTGTCCCAGTGTTGTCACTTACAATACTCTGATAGACGGTCTTTGTGAGTTAGGGAACTTGGAAGCTGCTCAGCAGTTAAAAGAAGAGATGACCAGCCAAAATATAAATCCTGATGTGAAGACATACACGACTCTCGTAAAAGGATTTGTTAAGAATGGGAATCTATCCAAGGCTATTGCAATTTATGATGAGATGTTGGAGAAAGGGATTAAACCTGATAGATATGCATACACTACAAGGATTGTGGGTGAATTGCTGCTTGGTGATTCAGACAATGCATTTCGTCTGCAGGAAGAGATAGTGGCCAATGATCGTTATACTCGAGATCAGATCACCTATAACGTTTGTATAGACGGACTCTGCAAGGTTGGGAATCCAGAAAAAGCGATTGAGTTTCAGCGTAAGATTTATAGAGATGGTTTTGTCCCTGATCATGTTACTTACACCACGATTATCCGTGCTTATTTGGCGAAGCGCAAGTTTGAGGATGCCAGAGCCTTGTATCATGAAATGCTGAAGAAAAGGTTATCTCCCTCCGTGATTACCTACTTTGTGTTGATTCATGGTCATGCGAAAGCAAAAAGGCTAGCAGAAGCCTTCCAGTATTCAACCGAGATGAAAAAGAGAGGCGTTCGTCCAAATGTGATGACGTGCAATGCTCTTTTACATGGCATCTGCAAATCTGGTGATGTAGATGAAGCTTACAGATACTTCTGCAAGATGGAAGAAGAGGGGATTCCACCGAATAAATACAGCTACACTATGCTTATAAACAAGAATTCTGACCACGGTAAATGGGAAGAGGTTGTTAAACTGTATAAAGAGATGCTAGATAAAGAAATTGAGCCAGATGCTTACACACATTGGGCCTTGTTCAAGCATTTGGACAAAGACCACAGATCACGAGAGGTTGAGCTCCTTGAAAAGTTATTACACAGTTGACGAGGAAGCAAAGGTGATATTGTTTTTTTCTATGGAGCTGGCAGATTTTGTCCCTCAGTGCAGATACGGAAGAACTCTCTAACAAGTGCATATGGTCAATTTTACAATTACTATGCACAAAGTATAGTTGATGGCTCAGGTTGATTGGTATGTTACAAACTCTTCTCTCAGGTTTCCAAAGCTGCTGCAATGTCTGTGGTTTGAGATTGTAATGCAGCTTCTTCTGCAGGGGAAACATACTCTTGAGCTATGGCCAGAATCATCGATCCAATGTTGTTGGAAGCTCATTGCTTTAGCTTTAACTCATTCTTTACCTGCAAAGTATGGCTTATATTATTTACACTGCAGAGGCAAGAAGAATAGGAATAAAGATGGACACATAAATGGTGTATTGTTTAATTCTTTGGATCATTTTTGGAAAGAGAGAGAGAGAAAGAAAATGTGAAACACATTGAATTTCGTTTGTAGGACATTTTTGGGAAGAAAGCTAAAAAGTACAAAGGCTCTGCTTCTCTATAGACTCTTAAGCATGCTTTAGGTAAAAATACTAGAAGTAGTTCTGCCTCCTTTGTAAGCATAGCTCTGTGTTATTGTCACG